GGTCGCGGGGGCAGGGGAGGGGCGGATCCGAGGGGTCGGGGTCCTCCCGCAGCCCGCGCCTTCCGCGAGGTTGTGCAATCAGGTCAGTGGGAGTGCGGCGACGTGCGCCCCTGCGGCAAGTTGCGAGGCTCTAAATTTGGGGCGGCCCCTCCTCTGGGTATGTTGGAAGTCACCGGAAAGGTGCTTTGGGGCTTTCTGCGTGTTCTGTTTCCATCGCTTGCACGTTACGGGCGCGCGATCCGCCCGCTGGAGGGGCGGGGGGGAGAGGGGACCGGGCTTCCTCGGGCTGGAATCCGTGGCCTTGTGGGGCCTCTCGGGGAGGAATGCCATTTTCCGCTGAGCGCAGTCCTGGAGGCCTCCCCTCCCCGGCCCGCCCTGCGGGCGCCGCGCTCCTTCAGGGATTAACCCCCTGGGTTCTGGCCGCGGGGTTCCGCCCAGCAGGCCCGGCCAGCCCGGGGCTGTCGGGCAGGCCCCTCCTGTCCTGCCCCCTCTGACCGCCTGGTGAGTCACTGCCCCGGTGTCTCTCTGGCTCTCTCGGAAAAGCAGTCCCAGATCCCGAAGGAGCGGGAAGCGTCCTGAAGGTCACTTCCGGACCCAGGAATAAAGGGGGAGGGGGATGCCGACTCCGGTTTGACCCTAGGTCTCCCAGTCACTACAGCCCTTGCCTTCCAGTGGAAGCATTTGGATGGGCTCATCTTTAGAACACTTTTAATTAAGTGCGTGCGTTTGGTGATTCAGACTTTGGTGGGTGCCGTGCAGCACAGGTAAGGTGCTCAGAAAGGGTGTGGTTGAGCGCGCGAGTCTTCCGGGCCCTGCCCTGCGTTGCACTGTGCCAGCCACGGGTGGACTGGGTCACAGTCCCTGGCCTTCACCTTGTGGGTGTGCACGCGGGCGCTCTGAGCAGAGGAGGGCACACAGGCCCAGACCCCCCCGGGGCGTTCCTCTGGCGGGGCGCGGGCGTCCGAGACCCCTGTGTTGGCTGCTCAGATGCCTTCTCGCTCTCTGCCCCTCTGCCCCAGCGAAGGTAGCGAGGTTGCTGCAAAGTGAATTCTGTCCCATCATCTGAAACTTTGTCCTGTAGAGTTTGCCACTCTGTGTGGCAGCGCGAGCTGAGTTCATGCTGGTGTGCTGTCGGTGGGCACGTGTGACGTTTGCAAGGAAGGTCTGTTCATGGTGAACAGCGAACAGTGTTTCTGGGTGACCGTTTCATTGAGATATAATTCACATACCGTGTGGTTCACTCATTTAAAGGGTTCGATTAAGGGGCGACCGGGTGGCCCAGTCGGTTGGGTGTCCGACTTCGGCTCAGGTCGTGATCTCCCGGTTGAGGAGTCCGAGCCCCGCGTCGGGCTCTGTGCTGACAGCCCGGAGCCTGGAGCCTGCTTTGGATTCTGTGTCTCCCTCTCTCTCTGCCCCTCCCTTGCTCGTGCTCTGTCTCTCTCTGTCTCAAACGTGCAATAAACATTAAAAGAAGTTTTTTTAAAGGTTCCATTAAATAGTTTTCTAGTCTAGTCACAGAGTTGAGCAGCCATCGGTCGCCACGATGAGTTTTAGGGTAATTCTGGCACCTCACGAAGAATCCCTGTTACCCTCCCTCCAGGGCCAGCAACCACCCATGTACTTTTCGTCTCCATAGACTTGGTAGCTCTGGACATTGCACGTACACGGGACTGTGTAATACACGGTCTTTCGCCATCTGGCTGCTTTGCTTCGTGTGTTTTCACGTCATCGTGTCGCGGGGCATCCGGCCTTCACTCCCGTTTCTTGCCAGATCCTATTCCCTCCTACTAGTGGCTCACGTGGGCCGGTTACGTAACACGGGCGTTGGCATCGTGTTTGCTTTGGGGCTGTCGTGAAGGATACCGTGCGCGTTCCGTGCAGGCTGCTGTGCGGACGGAAGTTGTCGTTTCTCTCGCGTCCGTCTCTGGGGGTTGGAACCCCTGGGTCATTTGGTAACTGTGTTTAAGCTTCTGAGGACCTGCCACACGGTGCCTCGCTTTGCATTCCCACCCGTGGGGTGAGGCAGTTCCGATTTCTTCACACCCCCCTCCAAGTTGTTATTGGCTGTGTCTTTGGTTTCAGCCATCCTGGAATGGGAGGCTCGGTATCTGCTGTGTCTCGAGTTGCGCTTCCTTGACGGTTCACCATCCCGGGTGTCTTTTGTGAGCTTAGTAGCTAGTAGCTTATGTGAGTAGCTCTCATATCTCTGGGGAGACGTCTATTCAGGTCCTTCCCCGTTTGGCAGTGTGGTTAAGTGTCCTTTATATTAATGCAGTTGCAGGAATTCCTGACTTGTTTTGG